GTATTTTCTTCTGATGGTGTGAGCTGTGGTTTGAAAAGCATAAATGTGGCCTTCTATTTGCAGGGTCCGCTTTCTATCCTCTCCTCAGACATTAAAGTGACTTCTAATTGCCCCACTTAAACGGAATCCTGGAAGAATTGCAATGATTCACAAGTGTTGTTAAAGTGCTACTGAAATCTGGAAAGTATTTACTGCAATTGTTTGGACTTTCTAAGATCAGACCTTCATCGGATGTGATAGAATAGGAAGAAAAGATACAACATTCCTTACTGGCAACTGCATTTCTTAGAAACGGTTAGGCAACAAACTGGAAGCAGATGATTTTCAGAAATATGTTATTCCAGCATAAATCTACTTGTAAAAAATGCCTTTAGTCCCAGTAAAATATAATTGTGGTGTAAAAGCCAGACAGCTTTGCACGGTCTCTGCTGTTGACATGGTATATTGTCCGCTACCCCAAAACCCCCGTTGTGTTCTGAATTCTGAAGACATTACATTTCACTGATTCTAGGGCAAGATTCTGTCCCCCACGCCATCCTGGGGCTGGCACAACCAGGTGCATTATGGGAAAGCATCATCTTCTTCTGAAGCATCAGCTATTGGCTGTTCCCTAAGGGAGAATGAGAAGCTTGATGTACGTCTTCCAGTTGGAATGCCAAGTTTTGTGAATCTCCTGTCTGTATTTCTGACACCACCTTATCCTTAATTTTTTTTATTACAAATGTAAAAAAAGAAATCTAGAAATGAAACTCTCTCCATTGTTTCTCCATGATGGCCATTCCAGGTCCCCAGAAATTAGAAAGGCACACAGTTTGCTGTGCAGTGCTGGTTCTTACAGATTTTCATTTGAACCTAGGTTCCTAGAGTTCATATTTGCTGACATTCTTGGTGTAGAAGCAATGTCGGAACACCAGCCTATGGGGAAATCTGGCTTTTGTATTTTACCTGCTCATAAATATTTTGGCTTATATATACCCATCAGTGGTTGCAAGTGTGTGATCTGTGCGCTCCATACAGCCCCAAAACATACTTTGTATGGTTTGTCTGGTGTTTTTTTTTTTTAAAAATCTACGAATCGGTCGCCAGCACTGAAAATGAAGATATTTTGCACAAAAACCAGGGGTCTGGCTAATCTTGAAAAATAGGAAGACCTGCAGCCATGAAGACACATCCCTGTGGGTCTGCAGTTGGCTAGACTTGAGCAGTAAGTGTCTACACATAATCTGCTGTTCCCTACACCGTGTGTTACAAATTTCGCTACAACGTGTTACGTTAGCTATACCGTGTGTTACATTATTCGTTACACCGTGTGTTACATTCGGCTAGCTGCATTCACTTGCATTACCTGCTGTCCCTGTCAACATACAGAGCTGAGTTTGCAACTCTAATCACGAAGTCTCAGATTTGAGAACCGAAAATACTATAGGTTGGGTGACCATATAATTAATTGTCCACGATAAGACTCAGAGAGAGTAAAAGGTAGGCTATTAGTATTTACACCAGGCACAAACCGGGCTATATGGTCTCCCTATTTATAGGTCACTTTATTCAGTCACCTCATTTGACTAATGAGAAAACTGAGACCTAGAAAGAGGAAGTAATTTGCCTATAGTCACCAAGTAAACTAATGGCAAAGGTGCCCTAAGTACCCTGATTGCCAGTTCACTGCTTTCTCCAATATAATGTGTTCTATAATAGGGATGAGCACCATATTTTCCTTGAATGTATAGATTTTTTATAGTTAATAATTATCACCTGGCTAATTTCCTGTGAGTGTACAGATCAGTAGTTTATATCATCAACAACATTTCTATTATAAGTGTAGTTAATTATGGGCTATAGCATATCTAGAGATGTTTAAAACATTGGCAGGCTTGAGAGCTTGAGACTAGACACAAGAAAAGCTTCTCATTTTACTAGATACAATAAGAGGTACATTCAGAAGTGATAATTTTCTGGATTTTTTAAATCCAGATTTTATTTATTTCTGAGAGAGAGAGAGAGAGAGAGACAGAGTGAGTAGGGGAGGGTCGGAGAGAGAGGGAGACACAGAATCTGAAACAGGCCCCAGGCTCTGAGCTGTCAGCACAGAGCCCGACACTGGGCTCGAACCCACTAACCGTGAGATCATGACCTGATCCGAAGTCGGACGCTTAACCGACTGAGCCACCCAGGTGCCCCTAAAAAATTTTCTTTTAATGTTTATTTATTTTTGAGAGACAGAGACAGTGTGAGTGGGGGAGGGGCAGAGAGCCAAAGAGAGACACAGAATCAGAAACAGGCTCCAGGCTCTGAGCTGTCAGCACAGAGCTCGATGCGAGGCTTGAACTCGGGAACAGGGAGATCATGACCTGAGTTGAAGTCGGACACTTAACTGACTGAGCCACCCAGGCGCCCCTGGATTTTCTTTTTTTAAACCACCATTCAGTAAGTATCCCATAACTAGCTTTCGAAAAACATCATATATTGACTTTTTGATCATTGGCTATTGGCTGGTAATTAATATTAATTATGTCTCTCAGAGATGGCCAACATCCCAAATTCCCCGGTCCTGGACCAGCTGTTTCCTTGTTGGGTGTCCAAGAGATATTTGTACACACAACACTCCAGATGAGACCAATTCATGCTCCGAATCACTTGCTCAGAATTTGGCCCCAGATTTCTGTCTGGTATCCCATCCTAGATCACGCGTGAGTCTTCGGGGCATCTCTTTGACTTTCATGAAGGCTTAGGCCACAGGCTAGCCTGAGAAACCTCCTTCAGGATACATCTTTTCCAGCGTCCCACTTGGCTCTCGTGTGTTCTTCTAAGAGACCTTGCAAGCAGCAGACCATCCTTACCGTGTCAGCTGCACAAGATAGACAGACAGACAGAAAGAAGCCTTTCCTGCCAAGATAGCCCAAGTCACTCATTCTATCCTTCCTTCCCCTTGGACTATGTTGTGGTCCCAATTAATTTTTCAGATGAGGAACCGTGACCCATGCGGGAGACATGACCAGAGCACATTTTGCCCCGTTGACCTTGTGTAGTTAGGGACAGCCAGGGTAAAGTAAGTATCCTGAGGGGGGGGGGGGTCTCCCTTTTTTTTTTTTTTTTTTGAAGTTTGTCAGACCTTCTTTTCTGTAGAGTGGTTTGACAGAGGCAGGGACCAGTGACCAACCATGCCAAGCCAACCCTTTAGATTTGAAATATAAACTACACATGGGTAACTTTTTCTCCAATGCACCTCAACAAGCTTGTTTTCTAAAGGAGCCCAGTCCATATGCATGAAACAGACCCCTAAGTGTGTTTTCAACAGTGACATGCGGCTACCGAGCCTTTGAAGTGTTTAGTATTTTGGCTACATTGGTATGAGTAAAATATAGTATTAAATTAATTTCTTTTTCTTTCTCCTTGATATGATTACTAGAAAAGCTAAAATCACCTGTCGCTCACATTATATTTCTATCAGATAGAGCCGTTCTAGAGGCATATGTTATTCACGGAACTGAAGTAAGATTCCATTGCGTGCTTAGGAGCTACCGTAGTGACTTTTTGCTAGCAGAGGTCGGAAAGGAGAGCAGTTTGCTAGTTGTTTCATAATGCAAGTCTTGTTTATTAGCAAGGCTTCAGTGTGGTAGAAACATCTGGTACAGGTGCAAAAGGGCCTTTACGTTTACCTTGATATGAGAACTTGATGAAAGCATTCAGTGCTTCTTCCTATAAATCAGGCTAGTTTTTTTTTTTTAAGGTTTACTTATTTTGAGAGAGAGAGAGAGCATGAGTGGGTGAAGGGCAAAGAGAGGGAAGGGCAGAAAGAGGGAGGGGCAGAGAATCCCAAGCAGCCTCCGCACTGTCCCTGCAGAGTACCATGTGGGGCTCGAACTCATGGACCGTGAGATCATCACCTGAGCTTAAACCAAGAATCAGGGGCGCCTGGGTGGCTCAGTTGGTTGAGCGTCCGACTTCGGCTCGGGTCATGACCTTATGGTTCGTGGGTTCGAGCCCCACGTTGGGCTCTGTGCTGACAGCTAGCTCAGAGCCTGGAGCCTGTTTCAGATTCTGTGTCTCCCTCTCTCTCTGACCCTCCCCTGCTCACGCTGTCTCTCTCTCTCTCTCTCTCTCTCAGAAATAAATATAACGTTAAAAAAATTAAAAAAAAACAAACAAACAAGGATCAGAGGCTTAACTGACTGAGCCACCCAGGCGCCCTAAGTCAGACTAGTTTTTAAAAGGACTAACCTCCCCCACATCTTCCCCAGTCCCGGTTCCTGTGCAGCTCTTTGCCTCCCGGAGCCCCGAGGGGGCGCCTGTTCTGACACCAGCCGGCTCATCAGCTCATATGCCGCATCATGCAGGAGACACTTGGGTTCATACGCTGCCAGCTGTGGGTCCCATATGGAAAAGCCATACCATATACATATGTATAGAGTATTTCTGAAACCAGAAGGAGTGTAGAAGAGCGTGTAACTCATCTCGCTTTATCTTTTGCTTGCCTTTGAAAATTTTAATCATTGAAACATCTTTAGGCTATAAATAGAAGCATGTAGTGAGACAATTCTGACTTAAAACCAAATATGTACTTTTGTTTTTATATGGACATAGGACTGTGTATGGATGTATGAAAATGTAGGTTGAACGTTTGGACACAGTTGGGTTTGACTTTCCAATAAAATGTGCGGAGAAGAATGTAGAACTGAATGGAGATGGTGTGTCAGTCTGCTCAGGCAGGGCTTTTCATATTCGAAGCAGAGATTTCCTCCTTCTATAAATAGTTGGAGAGAAAGTTCTGTCTCTGCTTCCATCTGGTTTAGGTACAGAGTTCACGTAGATGGCTGCCAAAGATTGATGGAGACAGTCACTCTCTTGACGGCGCCCCTCCCCGGTGACTTGCCTCTCCCGCCCCAAGGAGCCTGGGCCCATGGCCCCGGGCACGGATGTCACCACCCAGAGCCTGCCGTCACCCTGTATTTTCCCTTGGAGTAACCTCTTTCCTTCTTCTTTTCCTCCGCCTCCTCCAGGCAGGACAGGGCTGCTTGCTGACCTCTTGCCCAGTTTTGCCGAGGACATTATGCCAGGTACTCAGTCATTTAACTCTTTGTTGGCTTCATTTGCTGCCACCCCATCTGTCTTGCTTCTGCATTAGTCACTAATTGCTCCTTTCGTTTATTTGCACATTTGTCTGCATTATTGCTGTGTTCTTTTCCAGGATGAACGAAGCCCAACAGAAGAGCCTTTAGATTGTTTTTCTTCTTCTGTCACTAGGCCCTAAAAGGATAATGATAATTAAAAATAAGCTGCCATGGGGACCCTGTCCTTCAGCGTCAGGTGTGCCGCTGTGGCAAGCCCCATAACCAGTCAGTATCTCAGCTGTGCCCAGTCAGCTCTAGGCATCCGTGATGAAGTTAGGATTTACCTGCATTTCCTTAGTCCCTAAGTCATATGTTACCCACTCAATAGTGTACGACCGTGTCGCTCTGAATTGCCTTTTTATAACTTTATCGAAACATTTTTCAATCCTCATGAAGGCAGTACACCCCTCCTCCCTTGAAAAGCACACATTTACAGACCGACCTTGCTTTGTAGTCAATTTCAGGGGCTTCTGGGATCCCAGAAGTCTGTGGGCTCCATGGACCACATGTCAAGGAAACCCCAGATGCACACCTCTGTCGTGTTACTTAGCTGAAGTTGAACGCACCAGCCTAGACAAGCCAGCATCAGTTCAGCACAGCACTGTCGTTCCAAGTGGAAGGAGGTTCAGAGAGAAACAGGACTGAACTGTGGGAAAGGACATATCCGAACTCAGGGCACAGGAAAGACTTAGGATTCATTCTTGCTTTGGAGGGCTTCTGCCAAAGGGTTAAGAGCTGCATAATAACTGGGAGCAAGAGACAGATACAGACGATTCCTGGCCATTGGTTTTGACTTTACTCAGGTTTAAAAATGTCCAAAGTCTTCACAGTTGAATTTCACTAACTATTCTTCCATGAATTCTCCTGTTTTGCCATTAGCTGCCCAACCCAAATATAGACCTGCTTGGTGTTGATGTTGATCCCTCGGACACAAATAAATATCTCTTTGTGATCCCCCTTATCCAGAGTGCTGTCAGTGTGTATCCATTTGTTCATTACACACAAACACACACGTACAATGTTACAAAGCATTGGTTCAAACTAGATGTTGTTTCCCCCATCCTAAGACAAGAGTTACTGTATTTTTCATATCTGGTCCTGGTCCCTTGAACGTCCCTCCCTTTTGATTCCAAGAATCCTTTCATGGATAACATTCTTTTGTTTCTCCAAGATAACCCGCTAGTCTTTTACCCTTGACTCCTTGACCCAAGACTGCTGTAACCACCGTGTGCCACAACGGTCATCCAATCCTCAGGTCATCCAGTCCTACAGAATGTTACTGGGCTATTGCTCAGGTCCAGGACAGAGCCCTCAGCTGTCTGTTGTCCTTAGCAGGAATGTTCTCCAGACCATTCTCACCAGGCGCAGGGCCTTCTCATTTCCTCACTGAAGAGATGGTGACCTGGCTACATTGAATGTATTTCAGGTGGATGAGAGGAGGGACATTCAGGAAATAAAGGTTTTTGGTTTTTTCTCTGAGGAAATTATGTTCTAGACAAAGGTCAAATAATTTTATCATTATCACAAAACCTTTTATATAACTCAAATGTCATATTCTCAAGCTCCAACTGAATGCCCATTTAATTGAAGGAATATTTAATAACCACAGTGCAAGAAAAACAATATATACTTAAAGTTCACTGTAAAGGGATTTTGGGTAGAGGGCTTTCAATCAAAATGAATTACGTTAATTTTTTGACTTTTAAAGGAACCTGTGGCTCACTCTAGTCTGTGCAAGGCTATAGGAAGTTGAGTCCTATAGCCAAATCCCAAAAGCACAACTCAAAGCCACTCGAGGGTCACGGTCCTTTTTATCTAAGCCAAATGGAATTTGTGTCCTTTCTCTTTGTCTTTTGGATGAGCAAATGAACTAAAATTTGTGGCCATCCTCTGGTAGAGGTGTGAAACTAGCAGGAGTTAGCAAACACAGCAGCAGAGTCACCACCGCCCTGAGCCATCTCGCCACAGCGATGCTGGCTGTCGAGCACGGTCAGCCAGAGCGTGATTCAAACCAAGCCATTCTTGGGGCATGGGGGCATCAGATTCTCTGCCTGAGTCTTTGTCTCTAGATTTCCCTAGCCATGGTTTGTTCCATAGGTATAAGAAAAAGATTTCGATCTCAGCCTTGATGCTTCCTGTAGGAAGCGTGTTACAGGACTGGTCTGCAGGGAAAGTAGATGAACACACAAGAGACCTGGACCACTTAAATATGTTCTAGTTTAGACCATGTAGACACAGAGGACTTTTTCTCAGGACTAATATATATTTTTAAAAATATTTTAATGTTTATTTATTTTTGAGGGGGGGAAGGGCAGACAGAGAAGGAGACACAGAATCGGAAGCAGGCTCCAAGCTCTGAGCTGTCAGCACAGAGCCTGACGCGGGGCTCGAACCCACGGACTGTGATCATGACCTGAGCTGAAGTTGGATGCTTAACCCACTAAGCCACCCAGTCGCCCCAGGACTTATATTTTTGTCGATAAGAACAACTTTGCCACAAAAGGAACATATTCACAGAACCCCCCGCTTCGTAGCTCAGCCAGCGTGCCTCCTCCTCTCCCCAGCCGGGAGTCTGTCTGTTCCCATCCCATACTTGTTCTGACACTACAGTTGCTACGGTGAACCTTTTTCCCAGGAGGGGGCCCTGAAGCCCCCCTGCCCCCGTCACTTGTGCTGGTCATGGTGAGCTCCGCACGTCCTAGGTCACCCTCCTTCCTCGTCCCCGTCCCACCCCCCCAGCCCTGTAAAGTCTGCGCTTCTCCCTCAGAGTTACCCCTGAGTTTGGAGAATCCTGCCCCGTCAGGAGATCCCACCCCCCCCACAGGAGCCAGGCAGGGAGTTTGCCCGCCCCGGCGGTGCGCCCCCCAACGGTGGTTTCTCTGTGCGTCCTTGCAGAGTGGGTGTTCGTTGGCCTGGTGCTCCTGGGAGTCTTCCTCTTCTTCGTCCTGGTTGGCGTGTGCTGGTGCCAGTGCTGCCCTCACAGCTGCTGCTGCTACATCCGCTGCCCGTGCTGCCCAGATTCCTGCTGCTGCCCTCAGGCCTGTGAGTAAAGCGACTGACCGGTGGGGAGATGGAGAGAGGGCGCAAGAAATGTCGCCTCTCCATCAGACAGCTGTGTACCCTCAGTCCCATCTCCACCTCCCTTCCTTCCACCTTAAAAGCTGGTCGTTCAAGGCCCACGCCTCTGATCCTGAGATGACCGAGTGTTTGCCTTCTCCCCTGCGTGCACCCCTCCATACTTCTTATCCTCACCAATCACCCCTGCCCGTGCCATTCTCATTGGCACTAGTGAAGAAAGGAAGGGCGGGTTCCAGATGGTCAGGTCGTGGGCGAGGCTTTGGCGCCGTCCTCAGGCACTCAGGCTCAGGCCATGCCTCTCCTGTGCAGAGAACGCTTTTTACAAGCAGAGTATGCAGACTGCAGCCTCCAATACCATCCAACCGGGAATGAGTTTTATTTGTCCCTGTGACAGAATGGTCCACAAAGGGGCGAGCCCTCACCTGGGGATCCACAATTTTACCTTAATTTTTTTAAATGTTTCATTTATTATTGAGACAGAGAGAAACAGCATGAGCGGGGGAGGCTCAGAGAGAGAGGGAGACACAGAATCTGAAGCAGCTCCAGGCCCGGAGCTGTCAGCACTGAGCCTCACAATTTTACCTTAGTGGATGAGCCCGTCTAGCCACTAAGTTGGCACCCCAGCCATAAACCAAATACATCTTGAAGGAGAAAGACATACGTGTGTCTTCAAGACCCTTAGGCGTAAAGCAGTTTCCCAGAAGAGTTAAGTTACTTGCTCTGCCTTTGAGATCACAGAGCAGAGCCGGGTGCAAGCTCATGGCCTGGCTCTAGAAGAGGTTTGGGGCCCTCCTGGCACCCAGCAGGGTGGGTGGCCTGGTGCTAGGCCTGCTCCGGAGGGACGGAGGCAGCCTACAGACAGTGCGGTTAGCAGTGGGCTGCGCTGTCACCGCAGAGGCTGCCATGACGGCTCCTAGTACTGCTTAATTACTCGCCTGTCAGGTACTAAGCACTGTAATTCCTTATGTCATTGCTTTTGGTGGAGCAGGAGGAGTCCAGGGGGCTGGGGGAAAGTGCTTCTGATGAATCAGTTCAGGCCTAGGAGAACACACACACACACACACACACACACACACACAGGCACACACCCAAGCGCTCCCGGAGGCGCAGGCTCAGGGAGTTTTGGTGTGAGGGTTGTGGAGGGCGGGACCATAATATAATCTCTTTTGCTCTTCATCTCCCTCCACAGTGTATGAAGCAGGGAGAGCAGCAAAGGCCGGGCACCCCCCCTCTGTCTCCGGTGTCCCCGGCCCTTACTCCATCCCCTCTGTCCCCTTGGGAGGAGCCCCCTCGTCCGGCATGCTGATGGACAAGCCGCATCCACCTCCCCTGGCACCAAGTGACCCCACTGGAGGAAGCCACAGTGGTAAATGTAGTTCCAGACGGCCCCGCCCCGCGCTCCTCTCTGGCTTCCGCTCTGGCTCCTTACTGATAAGAACCGTCAGCTCAGCGGTTCTTCTTTGCAAAGTGATGGTCACCATTCCAGAAGTGGGAGCTCTCTAGCTGTACCAGATGCCATCTGGATATCAGGCTTTCCAAGGGCCGCGGGATGCCGCCGCTTCCCAGGCTCCTCAGTAACTCAGATGATAAGGAGGCAAGGCACCCATTGAATGTTGGTCATCCAGTTGACACAGTTATTTCAGCCGTCTCTAGTGTTCAGGGCTATCGCAGGCCCTGTGCGGGACAGTAAGAAGTAGAGGACACGGTTTGCCCCGGAAGCAGTAGGCCTAGCCAGGGAGACAGAATAGACTTTTATTAGGGACAATCAGGTGCTGTAAAGAGTATGGCGCTGGGAATTCAAAGGAGAAAGAGCTGGAGCAGTTGCAGAGTGTTCCGGGAAGAGGTGAATTTGAGCTGGGCCTAGAAGAACACAGAGGAAGAGTAGAGCAGAGAGGGGGTTCCCGGGCACCCCCAGGAAGGAGTTTTGGTGGAAGCCTGGGGCTGGAAGAACAGGGTGTGTGTTTGACAGTCTCCAACCTGGCTGATGGGAGGAAAGGGGATGGCTTCGGCGGGGCCTCATCCGGGTGAAGGAGGGCCTTGAAACCTACCCAGGAGAGCCGGGCTCGTGCCATGCGGAGGCTGGAGCCACTGCAGACCGGTTCCTGAGTTCCCGGAGGGGTGACGTGCTAACACGGCAAGTGGTAACGGAAGAGAGTGGGGTCGGCGGTCCCCAGCTGCCATGCGATTGAAGCCGCTCGGGGTGGGAGAGCATCTGGGTCTGACGGAGGCCATGGAAGTTGAAAGGAGCAGGTAGATCTGAGAGATACTTCAAAAGAGGAAGCAAGGTGACTGTAGGGAATGAAGGAAAGGGGAGGCTTCCGGATGAGCACAAGCTGTCCAGTGATGCACCCCATAGACAGAATTAAGTAACAGGTAAGGGAGAGCTTATTTGGACGGAGATTAGCCCCGGTATTCGGGGCATGATGAATGTGTGGTCATTGGCAAGGGCACAGGGGGAGAAGGGCAGAGAGACGTTAAAAAGTAGCTTTCCTGGAGGTGTCCGAACAGGATCACAGAGTAGGAAAGGTTAGACGTGTGTGAAGTATATTTGGGAGGTAACTTAAATCCCTAGGTCTGGACGAGCCAGTAGGGTTGGTAAAACAGACACTTCTCTGGAGGGATCTGGACTTCCTTCGGTGGGTGCGGGAAGAGTGCCCCGCCCACTGAATGAACTGTCAGTGCTGGACCGTGGAAGGAGTGGATATCCTCAGTGAGTAATTGGTATTTGTGAGGGTTTTTTTTCCCCTCTTTTTGGAACTATTAGTAGAGCTCTGACGTCTGAGCCTGGGAATGAGTCACAGACTGAGAAGTAAAAGTTAATGATCAAGGACACAGGGAATTGGAGAGAGAAAGACAATGCAGCTCACCTCCCCAGGGATGGAATGGGCAGGGCATTAATGGAGGCCGTCTCATGCCCTATTCGTAGCTTCCCCTTTCTCCAGTCTTTTTATCCTTCCTCCGACCGGAACCCATGCCGACTTCCTTTCTGAAAATGGATTCTCATAATGAGATGATTCTTATTCATAGGGTGACAGATACTTCCTCTCTCCCGATTTCATCCTTTTCCTGGTTCCTGCCATACTAACCAACTGCAAGAAGTGGCTTAAAAAATAGGAACGCGTATTATTTCCCACAGCAAGAAATCCTAAGGAAAAGTGGCTCCGGGTCGCTGCGTGGATCAGCTCGGGCTTAGTTCTTTACATCTTTGGTTCTGTCCTTCTGGGCTGGCTCCCTTTACGATCCCCTGATGACTTCCTTAGTTCCAGGCACTAAATGCTTTCGGAGAAGAAAAAGTTATGCTTCTCCCTTGTGCTGCTTTTCTCAAGAAGCACTTTTATAGGAGCCCGTCCCCCTTCTAATGGACTTCTGGCAGTTTTATTGGCAAGAGTTGTGTCCTGTGCCCATTTCCACACCAGATTGGCTTGAACTAATCAAGATTCATCGCTTCGGCCAAAAACACCCAATCACCTTGAAAATGAACAAAGTCGGGGCTCCGTTAGCAAGCAAAATGGGGAAGACGCACAACCTATGTTAGTCACCGCTAGTCTGGCTCAGGGTGTCATTATCTGGTCCACTGAGTCAGGATAGAGTTCCTCATGATCCCCTGTGGGCATGTTTGTGTACTCATGGCTCCGTGGACAGAATTATTGATGGCATTTGGTTGTCTGTTCAGAAAATGGTGACTTCAGCCAACGTTCTTATGCACATTATTTTTTAAAGAATGTTAGAGATCGTAAGAAATGCTGACTTATAAAGATGTAAATTTAGCCTATTTTATTTTATATGCTAGTTCAATTTTAGGGTAATCATCTAGCAACAGTGATTTTTCAGATTACAGTTGTATACAGTACCCTTTTGAACCCTCTGGGTAGATGGAAAGGCATCTTTGATGAGCTATGTAGAGTACAGCCAGTCCGTTACCAACTGGGAGAGAGAAGAGGTGCCTTGATTCCCTCCCTCGTTCTTCTTGGCAGCTATTTGAGACCTCTGTTAAATAGAAGAACTCTCCTCCTGTCCTGCTCTGGACTCAGCCTCTTTAGCTTTGTCCAGGTTCTCTCTTTATGGAGTATCCACACGCCACCCCCATCTCCCCTGTCATCGCCAGCTTGTCTTCCTCTAGGGTCTCCTTCCTAGCAGCATTCAAAACATGCTTAAATCTCTTCCATTAAAATAAAACAACAATTTGCAAAAACCCCGTAGTCCTCGGATTTAACTTCCCTTATCCCTTTTCCCTCCTCGTGGCTAAACTCCTTCAACGTTCGGGATATTTCATATCTGCATTTCCTCTGCCTTTCACCAGCTCCTCGACTCCATCTTGCTATCGCTTTTACTACTCCCCAAACCAGTGCTTGTGAAGATTGCCTTAGTGCTAAATCTAATCCGCTCTTCTCAATGCTTAACTTCCCTCAAAGCGTTTACCACCCCTGCCCCACTCATCTTTCTTTGCCGTCCTCAGCACTTCGGTTAGTGGCATCTCCTACTTATTTCTCTGTATGCTGGCGGGCCTTCCTCTGTACCCAGACGCTGGCTCTCCTGTTCTGTCCAAGGTCCTCTCCCTGGGAAATGTTATCTACTCCCATGGCTTCAGTCATTTCTTCTATGCTTGTGGCCCCCACTCACTGTCTCTAGCCCCACTTCTGCTCCTCAGTCCCATATACCCAACTGCCTGGACATCGCGCAGGCATTTCAAACTCAGACTGTAGGAAATTGAATTAATCTGCCATTCTTCGCCTTCACGTCTCTTCCTCACTTCCCTCATCCAGTTGGTGACCCGGGCCCTCACATTATACCTCAACATAACCTTGAATCGGCCTACGTTCCTCCACCTGTATCGTACCATCCTGGTCCTTGCTCCGTCATCTCTCACGCTGATTAGTGCAACTGTCTCCGGCATCGGCTTCCCACAGCTACACTTGCCTTGTTCTAATTCATTTTCACATCTACCTGGCCTCCCCTCATTCTTCTTACAAAAGAATTGAGTAGGCAAGTCGGGTTTTGAAATGTCATTTTCAAAACTAATAAGGATATGTGTCTATATATATGCCTACTGTATGTATACAGAGAATATGCAAATTTTAAACATCACTTCTCCCACAACTGAGCTGCTGTCACCCTGGGGGTGGAATCTGGCACCTGTTCCATCATCCATAAACAGCCTTACTTAGCTCATTAAGATAGGACGGGAAAAACAAGGCTATATCCATGGGTATCTGCCTTCGAGACTCCTTTTGCAAGTTTTAGAAGTTAGACTTGGCTGTAGAGGAGAAATTAACTGAAAACTAGCTAATATTCAGTTAACTGGGTCAAACATATCAGCTCAACTACTTTAACAAGAAGAATTTTTGTAGTTTGGCATTGAAATTAATATCCCAATATTCCCTCTCTGCTAGAACCAAAGTTGCCATGGCTAATCGATGAGAGGAGCTGAACTATGAGGAGCCACACCAACCAAAGGACTTGGACCGGCCAGAACTTGAAAAGATAAATAAGTCCTCCATCCATGCTAAACTGAAACATCCCTGGGGAGTCATTTTCCAGAAAGTGCTGGACTTTGGCCAATAGTCCAGGGCCTGTCTTATTAAACTATCACCATACGTCAGAGAGTTCCCGGGTCTTCAGGCAAATTACAGATAAAAATCAGCCTGACACCATTTTATTTGTTCTCAAATCAAGGAAAAATTTAACGAATGCCTACGAATTTTCCCTCACCGAATTTGCAGCCTAGCAAAATGGGCACTTGGGGGGTTGCGGGTGGAAATAAAATGAGTAAAATCATCCAAAGCAGTATATGATGAGACTGTTCTTTGACGCAAGCTCAGAGAAGGAAAAGTCTCACCTGCTTAGAGGGATGAAGAGAAGTTTTCTCGTGTTTGAAATGCTCCTGAGCATATGTGTGACAGAGCCAGATTCTGCCAGGATGAGAGAACTAGTGTTAGTTCTAGTTGGAGTGTGCCGCACAGTCAAACTTAGTTTTTGATCTAAAAAAAAAAGAAACACCTTTTTACAAGGAGACTTGCCCAGCTTTTTAGCTACCGACACCGAATAGATGATTCCTCTAAAGTCTAAATATCAATAACTTGCCTTTGTCCTTCTTGGCAAACCAGAGGGATTTAGATTTCTGACGGCATTAGCTGTGTGACTGAGAAGTCGAGGCAGAAAGTGTCCATTCCAGTGGAGTCTCTTCATAATGCCGGCGTGGAAGGTGACGCAACTCTCTTTATTTGAGGCTGCAGATAGTTACTGTGACTTTTCAGGGATGCGATAACCTGTCATACATAATCAAATCTGTCTCACAAGGGGGAACACAGTTCGTTATAATGACACAGAAAACAATCTATGCTCTACTCCAAGTTGCAATTAACTGAGAGGTTTCCAGCTGTTGCTGAGAGAGGCCACCATCTCTCACCGCCAGAGAACAGCCGTTACACTGTTCCAGAAAGCAACAGCTCCCCACCTCCACTTCATCGCAGTATGGCTGAATGTTTACCGAAACAGTGCTTCCCTTCTTTAGAACACCTAGCTAAAGGCATAGCTCAGGTAGGATGGGTCCCTCCCTAAAGCCTAGACACATGCTAGTTTCCTCCTTTAAAAAATAACCATCAATAATAGCGAAACTGACCTAAACCTTGCTTGAGCTCCCTCCAGCTGTCGTTCAAGTCCTCCCCTTCCTGGCCAAAGCCCTCTAACCAACCAACCACGTGGCTGCTTCTGCCTTGCTCTGCAATCCCTTGTAATATAGCTTCTATTCCTGATTTCTGTTCGTTCGTTCGTTCATTCATTCATTCACTCATTCATTCATTCATACCAACACGTGTTTTGAGTGTGTGCAGTGTGCTAGGCTCTATGCTAGTGCTGGCGATGGAGACGTAGCTCTGGTCCTTGTGCTCAGCAAGTTCACACTCCAGGCAGGGAGGCTCCATGGAAAATACTCTCCAAAGACATCATTACCCCCAACACCGTCTCCAGACGAGCACCAATTCAGCTCAAACAAACATATGTTGAGTGCTTAGAGCACTGCCCCGGGCTTTACACTCATCTAGAATAAGAATTCTTTTCCTTCAGAAATCTTTGGGAAGATTAGGCATTTCTACACATAACTTGGAACAAACTAGAACGTATTGACGGCCATACTGAAAGTTCAAGGTAAATGGCTTGTAAGAGAGAAATGAGATGGACAGAGAGAAGAAATAGAACTTTCTAGCTATGGGAATCAGAGAACACTTTTTGGATGTGGTGCCATTTGAGCTGCCCGTAATAACTACAAAGAACTCAAAGTACTCTACTGATTTGGTCTTTGTTGTCCTCCTTTTATTTTCCTTTTTAAATGTTTTCTATATTTGTCTTCTCTTCCTTGCGAAGAGAAAGGTTGGGAAGACTTAAAGTTTGGGAAGTATTAGTTGCATTTTATAGACATTAAACCCGGGTCCTTGATAGGTCATCTTTTATTTGAAGCCCCTCAATAAACCAGCAACGTGCCTACAATTACCCAGTTCCCTATTTCGCAGCCCTGTGTTTCACCCATCAGACAGAACTGCCTCGGAACAGACCTAGCAGTTCCGTGAGATAATTGCACTTTAATTGAACTGTCTGTACTACTCTGTAACCGCCTCTGCAGAGATGGAAGAGTGTGTAGCTTGATAAATAAAATCATCCCTACTAATAATTGCTTCTGCATAAGGATTATGGATCTAACCTCCAGGAGAAGGTGCCACTTAAAAGCGTGTGCTGAGATTCATTAGTTGTTGGGTTTTTTTTTTTTTTTAAAGTAATTCCACAATTTGAGATGAATCTGAACTGCCCAGAATGTTCTCATAGAGAAAATCGGTGCACCTGCAAACGGGTGTGGGGGCGTTCTTCCAGTTTCCAGTGCCAGGGCTGTGATCAGGGTGCTGCGGAGTGCTGTTATTTTAATCTTCCATGGACTTAGTTTGTGTGCGGGACTTTGTCCACAGCCAGTCAGGTGACCAGAGAACAGGAAGCACAGCCCCCTCTGGAGGCGCATGCAGTCATGTGGTTTCTTTATGGTATTCGCCCTGCTTTGGGGACAGAGAACACAGGGGATGGGGTCGCTTGCTTCCCTCCCACTGGAGAGGCCCAACCGGCCAGAAAATAGGACTACGTCTCGAATCCTACGACGCAGGGCACGCCTCCGAGCATTTCCTACTCTGAGCTCTCTTGCCTTTCTCTTCTATCTTTCCTACCGCCCCTGCTCCGAGGTTCCAGAGAGGCTTCGGTCCGACTACATGGCCTCAGCCCCAGGCTGCCAGTTATTCTTGAGCAACTTATGAAATCCCTCCGAATCAAAGTTTTCTCAACCATAAAATGAGGCGATAGAAACTTCATTAGGGGTTGTGAGGAATGGATGTCCATCAAAGCACGTCGCACAGAGCCTAGCACATTACGGTGCCCAGGGAGTGTTGTCTCTTGCCATTATCGTTCCGGCCCCATCCCATCCCTTCCCTTCTCTTTCTCTCCTTTCCCTTATCTGTGAAGATTAGACTTGCCTGTGTCTGATCACCCTTGGGGCTGGTATTGGACTTGACTGATACTTAAGTGATATGGGGCTTACACAGCCTTGTGCCTGACAACATGGGTGATGGGGAGGTAGGAGATGGTATTATCTCTCAGGCTTTAGTTTAGTTTTGTTTCTTTTATTGAGCCCTGAAAATAACACCTGCTTGTAACCACATAGTGGCAGGTTGAATTTATCACATCTAGAATATGGTATTCCATTTCCTAAAAGGAAAATGTGAAAGAAATAAATGGAACCATACTTAGCAATTCATGTCGTTTGGATCTTACTTTGCCCAAATGTATATTATGATCTCTAATTCCAGTTACGGAACTTTTGCTTCATCTCCCAGGAAACTAGAGGCTTTCGGGCCACCTTGGTCAAGGTCCCTCATGTTGGGCTGTCTGTTTAATTTACATGTGCTCCTACCAAGTGAAGATGTGATCCTCAGATGGTATAGAGTGATCTGTCTAGGAAATAGGGTCTTTTTTAAGTGTGAGTATACTTCCCTGAGCTTTGAGAAGATGAGCTTTAAGTGGAGCTATAGGAGGTCAGAAAGTAGGAAGCAGAGCTTAACAAATGACCCAAAATATGCTGTAATAGAACTTTGTTATTTACCTGCTGTCGCTCCATCCCAGGGGCACCGTCTGATGAAAGGGATCTCAGGTATGGTTCCACACGTATAAATATAGATGACTATTCCTGGGGGATTTCAAAAAGAGTGTTGTAAGCGGGAACCATGTTTTTCACTCGGTAAAGTAAAACTTTACTCCTGCTTTTTTCAGCTCACCTTCCTGTCCTTTCCTTAACAGTTCGCAAAGGCTACCGGATCCAAGCTGACAAAGAGAGAGACTCTATGAAGGTCCTGTACTACGTCGAGAAGGAGCTGGCTCAGTTTGATCCGGCCAGGAGGATGAGAGGCAGATGTGAGCATCTGTTCGTTCTGTGTGGTCTGTGCATCAGGCAGGAGTTCGAAGCTCAAGGGGATTTGGGGGATATCAAACTCGGGTGCCCTGAGCTCTCAGGGTTAGAAGGAGCAGCAAGGGAGCTGGTGGCATCCTGAGGAGACGAGCTTCCTAGTACACAGAAGGGAGAGAAAGGGCTTCTGGTGTGAAGAGGAGAGGAAGCGTCTATCGCCTCGGTTTATGCTGCCTCTCCCCCTGGCGTAGCCAGCGTTCTGGGCGTGTGCAGTCCTGGGCTTGGAAGTATTGTATTTGAAGAGTCTTCTCCCTCCTCCTCTCTTTAAAATATATTCACAATAATGACAAAAGATGTGAGGTTTTCCCCCCAACATGAAAGCCCCATCACTGAACAACAAACAGGCCAGCTGCTGACTTGCTAAAGGGGAGGCCTCAGTGAAAGTGAAAGAACGAGCCTGCCAAGTGAAGCTGCAGAAAAGAGGGGCCTGCGTTCCTCCGAGATCCCCAGAAGCAGAGACCGAGGGGCTAGCAAAGGGGCTGCCCCTCTTGTCAAGGGAACTTTTAAATTACTGAGCTGCAGGGCCCCAACCTTCACTCACTCCCAGCCCTTGGACACTTTGCAGCTGACACAGCTGATTTTTTGGCATGGATTCCAAATGACGGTCCACGGTGAGAGGCAGCACGGCGCAGGGCCGCCAGAGATGCGCGAAGCATCAGAGGGTGCTGGCCGGCCTGGTAGTGAGGTCACCGCGTCTCTCACTCTGAACCCTCCTTGCCTTGGAAGCAAGGAGAGACTTGATGGAATTGTTGGGGAAACAGTCCCAGACTAGAGGCACTTTATTCAGATTAAGGACAACGTATTCCTCCCAGTTTGCGATGCTAAATTCATCCTGTCTGAGCTACAGCCATTGCTGCAGCCTCCCACCGCACTGACTATAAAAAGACAATCTCCAGATTGGAATGTCAGGAATGCAGATGTCACTGCTCTTGACAAGTCAGTTGTAACGTGTTGTCATGGAGCCCCGTAAGGGGACTGAGATAGGGATCAAGGAGGAGACTGGGAGGCAATCTGTGAATCTCACAGCTCGGAGAAAAAGTTAAAAACTGAGGTTAAAACTCAGAGGACGGATGCTGCTTTCGGTGATGCCTCCTGCCACCTGGATGGTCTCGAGGGACTGACGGGTCACTAATGTAATGGACTCCGCATCCAGGGGGACCTTAAAGACGGGTGAGGTCAACCTTTGCAGGGTACAGAGGAGGAAACAGAAGCCCAGAGGGTGGAAGTGACCGGACCAGGGTTAGAACCCAGCTCCTCTGATTCCCAGGCCTGTGCTCTTTACACAAGAATTTTTTTTTTAATTTTTTTAGTGTTTTATTTATTTCTAGATGAGAGAGAGAGAGACAGCGCGAGCAGGGGAGGGTCAGAGAGAGAGGGAGTCACAGACTGAAACAGGCTCCAGGCTCTGAGCCGGCAGTCAGCACAGAGCCCGACGCGGGGCTCGAACCCACGAACCGCGAGATCATGACCTAAGCGAAAGTCGGACGCTTAACCGACTAAGCCACCCAGGTGCCCCTGGAGAATTTTTTTTTTCTTTTATAGTTTCTTGTCAAGTTGGTTTCCATACACCCGAAAATTCTGAGCAAACTGGAGGGCTCCGTGGCGGCGGCAGCTGTCTCTGTTTAGCGATCACAGCCTTTTACCTCCTAGGACTTTAGAACGTGAGAGCTGAAGAGACTGAGGTTGTTGAATCCACCGCCCTCACTTTACAGACAAGGGAAGGGAGGCGGAGAGGAAAAGGAGCCAGTGCTGGAACTGCACGCACGGTTTCCTGGAACCCGCGGGCTGACGTTACAATAATTGCACAGAGATGAAGTAGGAACATGGTGCCCTTGACTTTGAGAGGTTCTCTTCCTGGAGAGCAGACACCCTGGGGTGGATCACGGACGTGGGGCCGTCTTGAAGATCTCATTGTAAAATGGCTCTCCTGGTTTCAGGTTGTGGCAAGATTCTGTAAGAACTGGGAATTTCAAGTTCGTGGATTTGCTAGCCAGTTAGATCCTTACGCTTCTTGTAAGTGGGGGGTTGCTCTTGGGATGTTCTTAGTCCAGAATCCCAGTGCCGGGATCTGCAGACTGCAGCTAGCAAGGCGACTGTGTTCCACCTCCTGATTTTGTGAAAAGCTTGTACTGCAGCAGAGCGATGCGGCTTCACTCGCATATTGCCTGTGGCTCCTTTGGTGCTGTGAGGGCAAAACCTAAACTGTGCCGTCCGGCCCTTCGCAGACCAGGTTTGTCTCTTCTGTCCTAGAGTGACATCATTCGGTGTTTGCGAAGCAGGGCTGTTGATGTGTGTGTTCAGTGTGGCAGAAGCGCTACAGCAGCACACATCCCGGACCGTCCACCACGATGAGTGTGAACAGAGCCAGCCCTCACTACGTGGGGAAGGGGAAGCCTGAGGGAAGTCTGAGGGAAGTTCTGAGCCAACAGTGTGTTTGCTCAGTGGTTTCACTTGATGCATTTTAGAGTTCGCTTCTGTGCTGTTGCCAGGAGATCAGAATTCACGGAGACCATGAGAAAAGGAAGGTTCTAGATTTTTTAGTCAGTAGTATCTGAGTTATTTTCCTGTAAAACGGGCGCTAACCAGTCCATTGTCCTTAGAGGAAAAGGTTTAAAAATTAGATTCTAATTGAAAACCAACTGATTGCATGACCAAAATGAAGGGCATCCCAGGAAGCCCAGACCTGGTGAAACAGGACCAGGGCACTGTTTGTGCAGTGGTGGGGAGGCCCTTCCTTTTGTCCATGGGCGGGAGTCAGCAAAATTCTCCACTCCTCCAAGGACTCTTGTTGGGGGGGAGGTAGAGGGGAACGAGACACATATTTGTGCTGCCCACATCCTGTCTTGACTTACCTTTTGCTCAGCAGCCAGGCCTTACACCTTGTAAATGTTGATTTTGATAATATTTTGAAGTTCTAACCAAAGGATTTTAGAAAACAAATGGATCCAGTTACATTAGAAATAGATTCGCTGGGTGTGCTTTTTAAGTAAAGTGATATTCAATCCATTTCAGAGTTCTATAAATAAATAGTTGGGTTTTTTTTTTTTTTTCTTTCCAGACTGTGATTCTGGTCTTATTCACAAGTGCTTTTGCAAAATGCTACTTGGGGCACTTGAGGAAATGAGAACACCGTGACCCACTCCCTCCTTACAGTTCTGCAGCAGGACAAGCGGACGCCCATAGTGCAGCCCAGTCCCCCTGTCCTTCCCGTACCTCTGCGCAGTGTGCTAGCCACCCATGGCTGCGTGCTCTTGAGCCCTCTTTAGGAGGCAAAGAAGTCTTGGTAGGCCCTGGACATGGACTTGGTGCCAAGTGGGAAGGATAGTCCAGGTTCCTGGCTGAGTATCCAGGAAGGGAGTGGAGCGATACTAGGTGTGCAGCCCCCTTGATGCTGCGGACAGTGCTCTGTGGGGGGAGGGGGGGGCTGCACAGGCTGGAACGGGCGGTACTGGCTCTGAAGGCCCCTCCTGGGACTCACACACTCACACAGCAGTAGGGCAGATTTTGTGGCAGATTTTGTGGACGGTGACTTCTCCTTCTGCCCCCTTTGGCTCCATGTGCCTGGGATCCCCATGGCTTTCACAGAACTATCCACGAAGGCAAACACTGGAACAAGGAGGGTGACCCCCTGGGAGGAAGCGAGCGGCAGAAGAGCCCGGGTTCTGGGTGGCCCGCCTCCGGTGGAGCCGGAGTTTCCCCGTCCCCAGAACAGGGACGGCAGGGAGCCTTCGTCTTTGTAAGCAAGTGGGCTTTCGGATGGAGCCCGTTCCCGCTGAGCTCAGAATACAAATACCGTTAGTTCGGGTCTCGAACCAACCCTGGACAGGACTGAGGTCTTCGGGAGGGGCCTCCCCAGAGCCTGGGCGTCAGCCCGTAGCGGAGTTCCCATCCGAGTGGGTGGACAGCTCCGGCGTGTCTGGTTTTGTCCCCGCAGATAACAGCACCATCTCCGAACTCCCCTCCCTGCACGACGACAGCGGCTTCCGCCAGGCCTACCACCAGATGAGGAGCAAGCAGTTCCCCGTGTCGGGGGATCTGGAGAGCAATCCTGACTACTGGCCGGGCGTCCTGGGGGGCGGCAGCGGGGCAAGCCGTGGCCCCTCGGCCGTGGACTATAACAAAGAGGATCCGGAGAGCTTCCGGCACAGGTGAGGGGCCGCGGCAGGCGGCTCAGCTGCTGGCCTGAGGTGGCCGGAGCTGGAAGGCAGGATGGCTCTGAGGCTGCTACTTCCTTTTTTTTTTTTTTTTTTAAATGTTTTATTTATTTCTGAGGGAGAGAGAGAGAGAGCATGAACAGGGGAGGGGCAGAGAGAGAGGGAGACACAGAACCTGAAACAGGCTCCGGGCTCTGAGCTGCCAGCACAGAGCCGGACATGGGGCTCGAACCCACGAACCGTGAGATCAGAACCTGAGCCCAAGTCGGATGCTTAACCGCCTGAGCCCCCAGGCGCCCCGAAGGCTGTTATTTTCTGATAGCATCTCTGCCTCCCCTGCCAGGTTGTCCTGCCACCTCTCTCTTTGGGCTTCTGAACACCCCCTCCTCACACTGGTTAAGCAAGGGAACACTTAGGATGCCGCGTGTGTTCCCTTTGAAGCGGGCACTTCATTGAACCTTAATGAACCTAAGTAACCTTATGAACGTTTCCCTGCCCTCCTCGTATTTTATCCTCTCACCTCTGAAACTTCCCACCCGTCACCCCCATCATTTGACCATTGGTACGTGTGAGGTAAACTGCCAGACGTGTCACGCTGTTGTATTTGATTCTCATAACTAGCAGGCAGGGACTATTGACGTCCCCGGGTCAGG